GAAGAACCGCTGACGCCAAAGAAACAAAAAATATTACATACACTCTCCTCTGTCCGGGCAACAAGTGCAAAAAGAAAGCAAACATTAAAATTGCTAAGACGACAACTTTCTCGAAAAGTTAATAAAATTGCCAACTTAAAAAATATATTAAATGATTTAAGTAAAAAACGTTTGGTACAGGAAGATGAGTTAGATATAATGTCAAAACTTGGGGGCCCCATCGAGATATGTAGAAGGCAATTAAAAAAAAGTCTAACCTACCATTGCCTAAGAAGTATTCAGAAGAGCTAAAAGTGTTTTCCTTAACTCTCCACTATTACTCACCTGCTGCTTATAATTATGTAAGAAGAACATTTGACACTTGCTTGCCACATGTCCGTACAATCAGTCGATGGTATCAAAGTATAAAAGGTGAGCCTGGATTCACAAGTGAGGCTTTCAATGCCCTACAGATTAAATCAAATTCTTCCAATGAAAAAATAATTTGTGCACTTATTATGGATGAAATGGCCATTCGTCAACATGAGGAGTTTTTTGGAAGCGAACGTAGAAGTTATGGTTGTGTAGATGTAGGAACGGGTGCAAATGAAACTACGCTTGCAAACAATGCTCTTGTTTTCTTATTAAATTGTGTAAATGGAAGCTGGAAAATTCCAGTAGGATATTTTTTAATTTCAAGTATGACAGGTGAACAGAAAAAGGGGCTGGTTTTAGAATGCTTAAAGAAATGTTATGAAGTAGGTGTTAGTGTTGTAAGTTTAACATTTGATGGTGCTTCTAATAATCTAACAATGGCCAAACTCTTGGGCTGTAATTTACATCATACAACTAGTTTCAAGCATCCATCAAATAATGAAGAAATTGTTATATTTTTAGATCCGCCACATATGCTAAAGTTAATAAGAAATACTTTAGCAGAAAAGTATTCATTTGTAAATGAAGAAAATAAAATTTTTTTAGTGAAAGTATTTCAAACAACTTCACGAATTACAGGAAAATGAATCTTTCCACTTAGCAAATAAGCTAAACTCGCAACATATAGCTTTTAAAAACAAAAAATGAAAGTTCGTCTTGCAAACCAACTATTTAGCGAAAGCGTCGCAACTGCCTTAGATTTTTGTGCGAACGTTCTACATATTGAAGATTTTAAAAATGCTGGGGCGACAATTAATTTTATTAGAAACAACACAATGACATGCTGCTGGTAAACTTCAATTAAAAACTGATAGATCCACTGGCTTTCTAGGTTTAAAAATATGCATTGCAAGCCTAAAATTACTATACAATAATTTAATTGTAGAAAATAAGTTTTTAACATTTTTGCCTTTGTACAAAATTTCACAAGACAATTTAGAATTATTTTTTTGTTCAATACGGTCTCATGGAGGTTTTAACAATAATCCTACAGTCAGGCAATTTCAGTCTGCATATAAAAAAAATTTAGTTCATGTTGAATTAAGAGATAGTTTCCGTGGAAATTGCATTCCTTTGGAGGAATTAACTATTTTAAAGTACAATATAACAAGCCAGTTAAATGTTACTTCAAAGAAATATGCAATGTCTGATAATATTGACGATTTTGAGAAAGTGAATGTTATTGAAAATGATCATGATTATTTACCAGATCCAGTCTCCTCCTTTTCCAAATATATAATCACTTACATTTCTGGATATGTTGTTTATTATTTAAAAAAGAAAATCATTTGTGAACAATGTCTAGATGCTTTAATAAGTTAAACACCAGAGATTTGTTTCTATTTTCATTCATTGATATAAAGAATAAAAATGGTTTGCAATATCCATCGGAAGATGTAATAAACATTTGTTTAAAATGTGAAAATGTATTAAAAATTATGAAAGACTCTAAGAAAAAAATATCAGTTTATATCATCAGCACATTAGTTTTAAAAGAATTCATAAATTCTAATGTCTTTTCGAATATTATGCAGCACAGTTTGGACCAGTTTGTGTTGGATAATCATAGAATATTATTAATCAAGTGCATAGTTGATAAACATGTTAGTATCCGACTAACATATCTCACTAAAACTAGAGTTAATAAAGCTGCTAGCATAAGACATCAAAACAACGAAATAGTGTTGTTTAAAGGTCAATAAATATTTTTTTAAATAATAAAAATTTTTTGTAGTGTCTTATTAAGAATGGGACACAGAAAAACTGAAGAGTTATCTATAATTTTACTAAATTTGGCAAAAGTTTTTGGTGTCATAAGATACGTTACACTTATTTGAACTATAATTATATATTTTTTGATGTTTTTTAAGTAAATCATATAGGTACTTTTGTTGGGAACTTATAAGAAACTTCAAAATTAAAATGAAGAATATTCGCATTCTAAGCATAGTCTTATTTTTAATCAGACTCTTCAGTTGTTCTGTATCCCTTTCTCAATGAGACACCTTGTATATAAACTTCCCACTTGAACAATTTTATATTTTTCAAGTATGTACAATACAGGTGTATCAGAAATTAAAGCAAAAAGACAACTTATAACAAAAGTTTAAATTTAGTAATGTCAAGTCATCCTTGCACCCTAAAAAAGTACCAATGAAGAAATTATTCCTCCAATGCAACCAAACAGTTATTTTTAGGATAAGATTTTGTGTTAAATGTTATCCACAGCCACAGGGTTTCTTTTTAAATGGCATGACATTCAAAATTTTGGTCAAAACAATTTTCATCATGCACTTTTCTTGGAAATTCACAATGCTTTATTAGGATTAAAAACACCAGTTTCTAGAAACTTTTTCACTATAACACTAACATTACTGATCAGAAAAAGTGGTTAAAATTTTCCTTTTGTAATCACAAATCGCAACTGAATGCCTATTTTTAAAATAAATTATCTCTATAATTCCATTTGTATAGTTGTTTGCTGTGCATCTGTGAGATTGTTGTTTATTATACATAGGTACCAATTATAGAAATCTTTAGTAAGTACTTGCTTGCAATTTTAGTAATATATGTACCTACCCTATATAATTAATTATTTCAAACATAAATAAAACCAACAACTATTATCTGAGTCTTTTTAGTTCCGATTGGTTTTGACAGAGTAGTTTTGATCATGGTTTTCTTTCATCTACTTTTAACCATAAAGTCATACCTAGCTGAATTTTTGATCTTTTTAAATTTTTGACTGTAGCAGGTCATATTTTTAATGTATGTCATCTACAGCAGAAAGACATACATGTTTTACATTTAAAAGTAATTAATTGTCCTTTCTACAAACTCGGCTGTATTTTTACTGAAATATATTTATTCACAATTCACGTAGTGGTTTGGTTTTTGGTTTGGTAATTTGATGTCATAATTCTCCTCATTGTCAGATTTTGACATTGGCAGCTTTGATCAAGACAAGAGAGTCCTTGAACGAAAAATCGTTGATTTTCGATCACACAGGTCATATATCGGACGGTTTCGGCGAAGACAGAACAATATAATAATATTAATCTCTTTTATGGTCTTGGCATTGGCTTGGTCGGAAAACGGTTAATAAATAATAGTAAATAGTGTAGCAGTCATAATTGCGCAATGTCATCAAATTAATTTCGAATCGATCATGTTGAAACAAATCTTAGGTAAGTAAGTCATTTAAAAGTTGTAATTCTGCATACGGACTTTAATTATATTTGAATACGACCCTGCTTAGTCAACCATTTAAGCCACGCCCAGTGGGGTAATTTTTAATAAAACATATCATATGCAAAACAATTGCCTCATGGCATCTCCATTAGTATTATACCTCCATGGTTACGACGGAACAGCGATCCTTTTCTTCTTGTGGATAGACGTTTTATTGAATTATTTCGCCTCAATAAAGTCTTAGTTCGCGAATTAATAGACACTTTACAACCTCATCTACACCAAAGGCAGGATTTTAGGGGAATATCGATTGATAATATGATTTTATGTGCCTTAAGGTTTTATGCTACTGGTTCATATTAAAGATGTGTTGGTCAAGAGTATATTTTTGGAATGGCTCAGAGTACTGTGCACAAATATGTTCATATTATCACCAATTTAATGATAGATCACGTAGTAGGCACTAAAATAAAATTTCCAACCGCAAATGAACAAGATATTATTAAATTAGAGTTTTTAAATAGTTGGCGAAAGGGAATTTCGGTACAGTTGGTGCTACAGACTGAAATCATATTGCAAAACGAAAAACGAACACGTAATCAACGCAGTCACAGGACACATAACGCAACCACAAAACATAACGCAACTAATACAGAACATTACATTTGTCTTGGTAGTAGTTCAATTGACTTCAAAAACCTTCGAGCATATATATTTGCTCGAATTGCTCGAAGTCAAAAACTGATAATAAACGAAAATCAACTCGATCGAGTTTCATGAATCCTTTTTCAAATTGAGGTCGAGTCGAACGTCGAATTGTACGATTAAGTCGAATCGAGTGTCGTGATCCCTATGTTATTCAAATGGTTTCTGGATACATTTCATAGAATGAGTGTTTTGTGATTTTGACACACAAACTAATCTGTCAAGTTGTTCTTGTATTTAAATAACGGTAACTTTGTGCTTTGAGGGTAGATTTTGAATAAAAACAGACAATTTTTATAAGTTGTATATTTTGGAGTGTAATATAAAATATATTGTAAATTGTTCTTTTGAAAATATCAAGGGCAATACTTACATTTTCATTTGTTACCTCATCCTAAAATATACCACTTTTTTATTTCTTGTTTTATCACTTTAAGTAACTTTTTTATTGTCAATTTGTTATTACTCATTTGTGTTATTATTTTGTAATTACAGCCTGAAGATGGCCAAGTAGGCCGAAACTAGTCGCAATATTTAATTCTTAATAAATATTTTTGTAGTATTGATTTTAAGCTTAATTTTTCGAAAGATGTCACTTGGGTAGTTTTACACACAACTCATTTGCACGTCTCTAATACTTGATTTAAGTCTAACAATTACGACTTTTGGTAGTAAACAAAAATTAATAGATCCAATGTTATATATCTGGTCTTGCGCCTCCACAATCGGTTCCCGTTCCGGATCGTACGGCTCCGAACATTCTACCATCGAACCCGTTGTCTCCGACGGCCCTCCTGGACGGTCCTCAGTGTGCCGTCGAAAGCGTCGCGATGCAGCAGCCGTCAGCGGCGGGAACGGTGCGAGCGTGGCTGCTTTCGGCACTCGTTGTGCACGCCGCCGTGGCGGGCAATCCCGACGCCAAACGCCTCTACGATGACCTCCTCTCTAACTACAATAAGCTCGTGAGGCCCGTCGTTAACACCTCCGATGTTCTACGAGTGTGCATCAAGCTGAAGCTGAGTCAGCTCATTGATGTGGTAAGATGCGTTTCGTCTTAAACATTTCCTGCTCTTTTGGAAAGTAATGTAATTAATTGTTAATTATGTACCGAGGGTGGTACATAGATTGTAAGGTAACTGTACACAAATTGGACACCGACCCAAAATTCGACATTTATATAAATCGTTCCAAAATAAGAAACCCGCGTGTGTAAGATTAGTGAAATCTAAAGATATTATTGGTTTAAACCCTTGGCGGGCATTTACAAAAATCGCCTACATATTTTTGATGGATAGTACTTAAATTCAGAAACCTAAAAAAATATCAGTGCAGCTATACCAGTGAATACGACTACCGTTTGCTCTAAGTTAAGCCATTATTCTAAACTTTTCAACAAGTTTGCATGAGTTAAATTAATGTTTTAATTGTTTTTTAGTACAAATGTAATAATAAATTAAGTATTATGTTATAATTTTTCGTTATTTTAATTCTCCAAATAGGAAATAACTTAAAGTCGAATTTAAGGACAACAAAACACCCTGTGGTTTTAATTTCGATATGTTCGGTTGAAAATAGGTACATAGTTCATTTTATTTATTTTGTACTATCTCTATCTAATCATCGTTATTTTTTAAAAGGAATTAATTTACTATTTTATTTTCATACTCATGCGCCAACCTAAATCCGATAGTGATGTCGAAAATATGTACAAAATGTACATATTTTCGTCTTATGGAAAAAGACCATGATAAATTATCATGTGCATACTTAAGAGCAAACCGAACCCCTCGAAAATTTATAATTCATTCTTAGCCTTAGTTTTAGTCCTATTTTCGTGAAATTTTCAAGAAATACCAATAATAATAAACCTTAGGGTGGAAAAATCTTGATTTTGTTGTATACCTTCGAAATGTATTTATTTTGAACAATTTTAAAAGTAATTTAAAAAAAATGGCATTCTGTATTAAATCTATAACAATTATTGGAAAAAATAGAGAAAAATTTCCAGAAAAGTGCAAAAGTGGTGTTTCTTCTGTGTTAACAAGCAAGAAGACATTTGTTACCGGATTTGATAAAAAAATGGCTAAGACATTGTTAATGATGATAATGATTCCCTGTAACTAAAGACCAGTTATTGACAGCGTACCCCCATTCTTAAATAAAAATTCACCTTTACCAATGGTAGACCTGACCGACATTGGAAAATATATCTCCAGAAATGAAGTTTACCTCTTAAAATCTTAATGCAATAAAGTGCTATAAATAAATAATAAAGTGTCCCCAAGAACTTGAAGATATTTGGTATAATTCTGATAAAAATTTCGATAATATAAAGGTACCGTTAGAAGTCAACATCAGAGGCATTTTTAAAGTTCCATAAACAAACAAATTTCAAGAATATACAACATATTTTTTTTTAAATATTTTTACTTAAAAAAAAATAAAATTATGGATTATTTTTTACTGACTTTGAGCAACAAATTGTTTAAAACCTAAAAAATATAACCTAAAAATATACCTAAAAACAATATAATACCGTCCAATACTTTCGTAAAACCGCTAAAACTGTCTGGCTTAGGTATATTTACCTTAATTGTTCGAGACCAAAAATTACAATTGTGTGTGAGTGAGATCTGTTAACTCTTGGATACCATCATAAATTAAATTAGAATAGAGATTATCCATTTATCAAATTTGGCGAATAAATTAAACACCAAATCGGTATCACATACATTGTAATGGAATACCCAAAACTATCAAATGTGGTGTTCTTTAGGGAACATTCCTCGCACTATTGTTATTTAATATTTATATAAAAGACCTATTTCAACATAATTTCAAAAGCGAGGTTATCAGTTTTGTCGATGACATCTCAATTTATCAACAAAACACCTGGGAATCCCTCAAAAATACCGCTGAATACAAATGTCAAAAAATTTATATATTTTTATTGATGAGGTATTTACTATAAACTATCAGAAGACTCATTCATATCTTTCACCTTGTGTAGTAATATTTCACCAACATGTAAGTATCTTCAAAAAAATCAGAATGGGAATCAACAATTAAAAATTGGGTCTACCAATAGCACCAAATATCCAGATTCTCATTTAAAGTGGTATATCCATGGGTAATACCACAAGAGGTGGTAATTTTTTTGAGAACATTTTGTTGTTTCTTTGGAACTTATGAGTCTAAATTGTTAATTGAGGGGAAATTCGAGAGGATTTTATTGAGTCAAATTTGCATAATTTGTAAAAAAACAACAAAATGTCTTCAAAACATTTTTTACCGTGTGTGGTATTTGGAAAGATTATTTAACAACACAAACATAACTTTTATAAATAACATTTGCTTTGTTTCCGTAGGATGAAGTCGATTCTGTATTTAAAATGTATATTTATACAATTTTTTTGCCAAACTTCACATTGATAAATCATTCGTATGTTACTCTAGGCATGAAATGAAGATAGGCGTTTTATAATAATAGGGCTTTTCTAATATTTATTGATGCCATCTAGCATTCATCAAAACTGTTCTTGTATCAATTTTTAGATAAATACATCATATTCTTAAATTCAACTTAACTCTCAGATGGTTGTCTCCAAATCCATCGTTTCGATTGTGTTAATGCACTGACGGATTACGTGACATAACCTTAAATTATTAATTATTATTAGACAGAGTAGGAAATAGGAAAAGTTCGCTCAAAATTCTCAATAATATGAATGAAGAAACTCACTGGGTTTTATTAACCCACGTTCCAAGTGGGCTAACTTTTAAAATAAGTTTGTCAGCATTATATATGCAGCAAGCAAATGAAGAAAAGTATCTACATATATTTTTTCTCCACCCACATGGATATTAGCTTATCTACGCACAGACTATACAACGAAAAAGTATGCTATTGCATTCAATTGAACGAATATATTTCATATCCATTATAGGTAATGAGAACACTAAAAAAAAAAAATTAAATCCACCAATAAAAGTTCATATTTTGGAGACCCAAATACTAATATTTTTAAAATTTTAAATAAGTGACAATTCTGTCAAACTAATTGTCAGTATATTTTTTAGTTATTGAGAATAAATATACATTAAAAAGAGTTACTTTTGTGTAGAATCGATAAATAATAGAATTTTTTTTAACTGGTCCACATTTTGAAAAAAATGATAAATTTGAATCAAACTATATGAAACCAATTTAATTACGAGTATTAGAACTAAAATCCTAAATGTGGAAGTAGAATAGAATAATGTTTATTTTATTTATCAAAAGATAATAAGTACAGAAAGTAACGTAGATACATTATAAGGTTAGAAAGTAGATTTAGCAATTTAAAAACCAAACATGAATTAAAAAATTAAAAAAAAAATCGATAGGAAAAGTCAGTGGGTTTTGAATATCAAATTAAATAATATAGTTTCGAAACAAACAAAAAATAACATAAAAAAGGAATTGTGTTTATATAAACTTTACATGATTCTTAATCTTTTTTTTTTAACACATTTCACTTGAACTTGCTTTAACGTCATCAGGCAGAATATTAAACAGAACTATACCCACATGAAACAAACTTTTCATGGAGCTGGTTTTGTTACTTGAATTCACATAAAAATTTATAGAATTTGCCGTCCTAGTGTTACGCCCGTGAATATTTGCAACTGGTACAAGCTGACAGTTTAAGTATTCAGGTAACATGTTGTTAACAATTTTATATATAAATATCATCGTCTGAATATAAAGTAGATATTCAAATTTTATTCAATTTAAAGCTTCCAACATTAACTGTGAACTAGTAAAACGATTGCATCTCAAAATTGCCCGCATTGCCTTATTCTGAAGGATTTGTAACCTATAAAAATTAGAATACCCTGTAAAAATAATAGTACTACAGTAATGGAAATGAGGTAATATCAGTGTATTACAGATGGTTTGTCTAGTCGATATAGATGAAAACAGTGATACCCTTCTCATAAAACCAATTTTCTTACCAATTTTTTTAGACAGTTTCAATGACTTCGTCATTTATGACTACATTTAAATTTAAACCTAAATATTATACAGAAAATTATTTCCAATAAACATCGACTTCAACTTTATTTCATTTACATTTAATTTATTAATTTTAAATTTCTCTGTTAATAATTTCAATTCTAAGTTTAAAGATTTAATTATTGTTCCAAAATCTTTCCTATACCAATAAATTAATGTTTCATCAACGAATAGATGAATTTTACATTTGTTTAGTACAGATCCCAAATCATTTATATAATATATTATAAATAGTAAAGGACCCAAGACACTGCCCTGGGGAACGCCTACATCGTTTAATATTAAATCTGATATATTATCATTATTCTTTGTTTTTTGAAATCTATTTGATAAATAATTTTCTAACCAATCATATACAGAACAATTAAAGCCATACCTTTTTAATTTTAATAAAAGAATTATGTGATCTATAGTTTCAAAAGCTCTTCGAAGATCTATAAAAACTGCGCAAATGTCAATTTCTGGTTTATCTAATATTTTTTTTTTATGTCAGTCACAACTAACTGCAGAACCGTTTCACAAGAATGCAAGTTTCTGAAACCTGACTGATAACTGCATAATATATCATTATCATTTAAAAACTTCACAATTTGTTTATACACAACCAGTTCAAGTACCTTTTCACAGAATGGCAACATATTTTATTTTATCCTGTCCAGTAAATCAACTTACCTTGTACACATTTGCGACAGGTAAATGGAACATTACAGTATCAGATACTGTAATGTGTTGCCTAGCAACCTTGTTTTGATTTTAGAAACGATTGACTTATTACTTTCGATTTTTGACAAATTGTCACTTATATGTATAAAAATATAAGAAATAAAATATTCAAATATACATAATTAGCAAATATATTAAACATCAAAAATATATTTTTAAATTAACTACATCAATAATTTATTATTTATTGCTGCAATTTTTAAATGTTCTTCAAATTCTTTTAGAACTTCTTCTCTTCTTAATGGTGAATATATAGGATGGAATTCGTTGTCTAGA